CGTGGGCCGTTGGGTTGTGCAGGGACTCATCTCCTGGGTGGAGCAATTGGATGAGAAGGCCAAGCAAGGCGTTCAAGGCTGGAGACGTCCCGTCGGTGTTCCCCAAACGGATGGCGCGCGGTGCGCTTCCGTTTGGGTGGTGCTTTTTGTGGGGGGGCAAAGACTCAGGTGGTGGAAATAGAAGGCTTGGATGGTTGGCAGTGGAACTTGGTGATCCCAAAAGCTGCGAATTCACCAAGTTCCACTTTCAATTTGTCCATACTATATAGATTAACCTATAGTAACACAAAGATATATTCAATTTCCACCTATCTCGACAAATCTACTGTCCAGAGATCCAGAAGAAAGCTTTGGACATGACAGCCTTTGTTTAGAGCATTTTAATTCTTCAGGCAGACAAAAGTGCTTGTTAACCATGTTCATAGAACGCTGTAGGGTCAGCTGCGGATCGAATTACCAAGTCCAATTTGCGTGGCAGGTGTGGGACGGTCAAATATCATACCGTGTTAAATCCTTAAAATAAAAGGCGTCCCGGTGTGAAACATGAACGCCCACACGGTCCCAGGTCTCCCAGTGTAGGACTCTAGGGGATAAGGGTTGCAATGAGTTTAAGTTTCAAGAAGCGCAACTTTTGTTTGGCCAGTGTAAAGACGTGATCACTTCCAGAGACCTAGAGGAAAGCTTTTCATGTACAAAAAGTTATCGTTTCCAGGGGTCTAGAGGAAAGCTATTGAAATGACAGCTTTTATCTAAGGCTTTTAATTTAGAAGTGATCATTCCCAGAGATCTAGAGGAAAGCTTTGGAAATGACAGCTTCTATACAAAGCCCTCTCAGTATAAAAGTATCATTCCTAGAGATTGCTTTAAAGTAAAAGTCCTTTTGTCCACTCAAAAATTGTATTTTTACCTAGTTCCCGGCCCTCCCAAGGCAAAAAAACACGGTGAAGCACAGGGTTTTGTATTATTTGTTTCTTTAAATTCACAGCCCCAGCAACACCCGCTCTCTTATCTTAATGATACTGTACCTTTGATCTTTCCTGCTTGCGCATCTTGTCTTGCCTTTCTGCAACACCAAGCGCGGAAGTTACGGCATAGTAGGAAAACATTAGTATTCCCCAAAGGAAACGCGAAGCCAGGAGGGGCTTCCCAACATAGTCCTCATTCTAAGTGTTCATTTTGAAGTACAGTGCTTGAAAATTAAGATTTCCCGATAAGCCCGTGAAGTGGAAACAGGTGCCTCGCTACAGTGTACTCATTCTAACTGTTGGGCATGTGGTTCCTTCGCTTTGGAGTACAGTGCCTGAAAATTTAACCATTCATGGCCCCGCGAGGGACGGCTTACCCCGTTCAGGCCAGCCCGGGCCAAAAATCTCTCGCGGCGAGCTTGCTGATATTTACCAATATCCTGGGTGTGAGGTGGAGCATTGTGCACGAGCCGACGTGGTTCTATCTTTCAGTCCGGGATTATACCCAAAAAGAATCTGGAGAAAAAACAATACGTTGAAATCTGCTGGCCTTTCAGAACCCACCAAGGCCTCGGCCTACCAAGACCGAAAGACAAAAACCCGCCAAGTTCGGCAGCAGGTTTGACGCTCATGAACGAGCCGGCGCACACCAATGCCTGGAGCCACTTCGCTCAGGAAGAAGACGTTTTGGCCTGGTTGGCCACAACGGCCGAGGATTTCCGGAACTCCAAATTGCCCAAGGAGGGGGGTGAAGCTGTACGTGAACATCATTGAGACGGCCTTCTCCCAGTCACACGAAAGAAGCATGCGGGTGGGTGGGGAATGCTTTTGGGAGGAAGGGAGATCTTAGTCAATGAAGAAACTAAGTACAGGATCTTCCATCCTGAAGGCTTTCGCTGTGGAGTGACTGAGTGAGTTCCTTGTGTTGATCCAAAACAAAGGATGTCCCAAAAAATGTGTTGGTGAGTATGGACGACAGTCTCCCAGTTTGTTCCTTGGCCGAGGTTTGAACACTCTGCAGTTCCATGGTTTGACAAGACCTTCACGAAGAAAGAAAAAGAAACATGGGCCGTGGCGGATGTCCATTGGTATGTGGCATGGAGCAATGGCTATTGCGATGGCCGAACTGCAACTTGCCTGGGATTGGTTGTGTCAATTTTGCCTTTTCTGGAAATCCCTGAACATCACAAGTGGAAGAAGTCACCATTGAAAACAAGGTCTAGAATCTAGAATCAGAATCTTAAGGAAACGCACGGACTCCTCATTTGAGCCAACGATGAAAGCCAGACGATGTATTCATCCCCCAATCATCCATTGCAGATTCGAGCTGTGTCGCAAGGGAGGCTGTGAACTCTCCTCAACATGTTGGTGAAACAATAACACTCCACATGTTTTGGAGACTTCGGAAGATCCAGAACCTTGGCGAACATATTTAAAAAAAAAAAACATTCTGGCAAAGTATCCGCGAAACTGGCTGAATCCCTAAACCCTTCCACTTCCAGTTCCACTGGAACCTGCACCTCTCACCTTCCTCAGGTGGAAGGCGGTGGCTTCAACTGTGCATCACCTTTGTCCGAGGTACAGGCCCGGCGGTAGGACTTCGGGGTGTTCGGGGTCGAAGGGGTCGGCTGCTTTGCAAGTCCCGGGTGCTGCTTGGCAGGTCAAAACATACCCTTGGAACCCCAAGAAAAGGATCTCAAGAGCAGTGAATGGGTTCGAACTGAAGCAAGGCCGGGTTCGAACTGGATGTAACCTTTGATAACTCCAGGAGCTGGGCTTAGCTCGGTCGCCTGAAAAGATGTCTCGGAACGGACGTCCATATGGATCGTTGGCAAACACATCAACGCACATCAAATCAACCGATGTGTACATCACGTGTCCGAGATGCTTGTAGTTTGTAGCTTTGTCTTTACATTCTGCATTGCGCAGTTGTTTTCTGAAAAGCTTTTATTTTGTTAGTCTTAATAGTAATGGTTGCTTTCAGTCCGTGCCGCGGGAAAACCAACGTCACCATGTTGTTCGACTCCAGATGACGGACGACCAACCACCCAACATGGCCTTTGAACATATGAATACAGGTGCGTTTGAGTTCTTACAGATCAATTTCAATCTGGTAATAATGGTGGTGTGTAACTCATGTATTATATTGCTAGCTTCCTCTCGAAAAGGCGCCAGACTGCACATGTTCACCCACCATGGACCGAATTCACCCCTTGACACCGCTTTTCCACGCAGCTCGACCGGGGCCCCAGGGGAAGTTGCGCAGCTGCGCCGTGGGCGCCTCGCAGCGGCTGCGACGGCTGTTTGGGCCAACCGCGCAGGTGGCGGTCACGGAGTTCTCCGCCGGGACCTTTCACATGGCGAGGCGCGGGGGGCGCGGTGGGCGCGGGGGTCCGGTGCACGGGTTTCATGCTGTTGTGGAGGCTGGGGGTCGGTTGGGGGGGGTCAGTTGGGGGAAGAAATAGGTGCAGTTTGAGATAGCCCAGAGAGGA